CTCTGAGTGCAGGAACCTAGGGGAGACTTCTGAGCCCAGGGACTCGAGCTGACTGCATTCCAACAGGCGCCCTCTGGCGGCCACGTGGGGAACAGCCTGAGGATGGGGAACAGGAGCCCGGGAGGAAGGCTGTCAAAACTCACGCTAGAAGTGGGGACTGGGAACCGACGCCTGGGATTAGATTTGGGACTTATTTCGGAGGCGGAGGGAAAAAGAGGAGTTTCCAGAACTCCACCTTTCCGTCCCAGCATCTAGCAAGATGTTTGAGAGACTCGTGATGGTCACACACCTACTGTGTGCCAGGGTCTTGGCCAATTAAATGACTTACATACATGATTTCATTAAGTCCAAATTGGTCGTAAGGACTTAATGAAATCATGTATGTAAATCAGGAGGGAAAGGTGGAACACGCGCAGTAGGAGTCTGGATTTCTTTAGAAATATTTGCAGCCCCAGGCTTTGAAGCCAAGGCCTTGTGCATGCTGGGTGAGTGCTCTACCACTGAGCTACATCCCCAGCCTTTATACTTTTCTTTTGAGAAACGTCTTGAACTTATGTTCTCCTGCCTCAGCCTCTTGAGTTGAGATTACAGGCATACATCACCATGCCTGACATAGATTTATTTTAAAAGTAGAGTCTACATGATTCGCTCAGCAGCTATTTGTGGATTAGATGGAGGATAGATAATAGCAATACTTGCAGATACATTTAGTGTGTGGCTGGCGCTGTTCTCAGCACATTATCTCATTTAATCCTCACATTACGCTTTTATTAGTGCTGTTTTGAACATGGGGAAACCGAGACACAGAAAGGGTAAGTACCTTGTCCAGTCACTGTGCTACTAACAATATTTTATTACAGAAGCAGTGCAGTGGGCTCTGGAAGTAGGAAAGATCCATTTGGGTTCAATTCCCACATGGCTGGTGGCCTTGGGCAGCTAATTCACTTAGTATCTCTCGCTGGTGATTTCCTGTCCTTTTATTGTTATTATTTTTTGTACTGTAGATGAATCTCAGGAGGGCTCAACCACTGAGGCACAACCCCAGCCATTTTTATTTTCTATTATTTATTTATTTAAGTTGTTTAGGGCCTGGCTAAATTGATGAGGCTGACTTCGAACTTGTGATCCTCCTGCGTCAGCCTCCCGAGCAGCTTGGATTAAAGGTGTGTGCCACCTCGCCCAGCCAGGCTCCTGCTCTGTTAAATGGGGATTAGAGGGACTGGGGGTGTGGCTCAGTGATAGGGCACACAGGAGCAAGTGTGAGTACCTGGATTCCATCGCTAGCACATCAAAATAAGTTAAATACAGTTAAAAAAAAAATGGGGATTTTAGGATGACTTGATGAGATAATGCCTGAAAGAAGAGTGAGCCCAGGGTGTGGAAGCTACTCACTAAATTATAGCAAAGATTTTCTTTAAGGGATTAAGATACAGCAGTGATCCCGCCCTGCAGGCCCTCCGTGTCCCTTCAGGTGAGCCCTAAAGTGTTCTGTGTGCTCTCTCCTTCCTTTCTTGTCCCAAGGCCAGGCAGGCATCACAAATTTCCTCCAACTGAGATGTCCCGATATTCACCTGGCTTTCGCTAGCTCTGTGCCCAAATGTCACCTCCTCAGAGAAGCCTTCTTGGACCCTCTGTCCCCTCACCCTGCCTTATCTTGTCCCTCAGCGCTCCTATTACATGTTTGTTTAGATATTACCTTGTCTGTCTCCTGGAGAAGTGAGTTCGACGGCCACAGGGACGTGTGCCCATCACAGGCCGGCAACAGGGGAATGGGCGCACCGCCCTCTGGTGGCCAGTGGGAAAAACGTCTCCGCCCGCTTGCAAGACCTTCATGTGCCTGTTTACAACTGGAAACTAAAGCTAGAGTTTAACTCCGTTCTGTGTGTAAACACAAAGCATTTTATTATGATGATTATTATTTGCAGTACTGGGAGTTGGACCCAGGCCCTTGTGTCTCCTGGGGATGGGACTCTGGGTAAGTGCTCTTTAACTGATCTATATGCCCAGCCTTATTTATTGGTACTGGGGACTGACGCCAGGTGCCCTTTACCACTGAGCTATATCCAAAGACCTGTTTGTTTTTATTTTGAGACAGGGTCTTGCTAAGTTGGTGAGGGTCTAAACTTCTGAGGCTGGCCTCGAACTTGTGATCCAGTCATCTCAGCCTTTGGAGTTGCTGGGATTACAGGTGTGCACCACCATGCCTGGTTCAAGGAGTCTTTTTATAAGGATTGGGGTCCATCCTCATAGCCTCATTCTAACTTAATCACCTTTGTAAAGACTCTGTTTCCAAATAAAGTCACATTTTGAGGCTTTGGGGTTGGACATCAATATAGGAACCTCGGAATGTGACCTCATTTGGAGGCAGGGTCTTGGCAGATGTAATGGAGGCACGGATCTCAAGATGAGATCATGCTGGATTAGGACTGCCCGGAATCAATGTCTGGTGCTTTCATAAAAACAGAAACACAGAGAAGATGACCAGCGAAGGCAGGCAGAGGTAAGGGGCTATATCCCCAAGCCAAGGAATACCAAGAATTGCCAAAAGCCAGAGAGAGGCATGCAAGACTCTCCTTCAGTGCCTCCAGAAGGGACCACCCTGGGGACATCTGAATTTCAGACATCTAGCCTCCCAAACTGGAGAGAATAAGTTTAAATCACCAGGCTGTGGTCATTTGTTACAGAAGGTAGTAGTAGAAGTTAGTAGAACCCCTCAGTTGCCTCAATGACACAAGAAGAGAACCTCAGTGAGCTTGATTTTCTATCTGTAAAATGGGATTACAGCCATGTGGCATTGACCCAGTCTATTTTCTGTTTTTTATTTTACTCATTTTTTGGGGGGTCGTTCTGGAGATTTAACTGAGAGGCACTTCACCATTGAGCTACATCTTCAGACCTGTTTCTAATCTTTTTTTTTGGGGGGGGGGCGGATTGAGTAGGGTACTAGGCCACTGCACCACATCCCCAGCCCTGTTTTCTATTTTCTTTAGAGACAGGGTCTCACTGAGTTGCTTAGCACCTTCTAGTTGCTGAGGCTGGCTTTGAACTCAGTATCCTCCTGTCTCAGCCTCCCAAGCTGCTGGGATTACAGGCGTGTGCCACCATACCTGACCTGTTTTTAATTTTGAGACAGGTCTTGCTGAATTGCTTAGGGCCTTGCTAAATTACTGTGGCTGACCTGGAACTTGCCATTCTCCTGCCTCAGCCTCCTGAGTCACTGGATTATAGGTGTGTACCACCATTCTTTGTCCTTTATATACTTTTGGTCTTCTCCAGATAACTTATAATGCAATGCAAATGCTAAGGAAGTAGTTGCTAATCTGTATTGCCTAGGAAGTAATGAAGAAGTCTGCATGTTCAGTACAAACATAATTTTAGAAAAATGTTTACTATCTGTGGTTGGTTGTATCCACAGATGTGGAACCTGCAGATACAAAGAGCTGATTGTATTTACATTTTTTTGGGGGGGATACTGGGGATTGAATTCAGGGACACTCGAGACAGGGTCTCACTGAGTTGCTTAGTGCTTTGCGTTTTTCTTCTTTTTTTTCCCCCTTTTGCTGAGGCTGACTTTGAACTGGAGATCCTACTTTCTCAGCCTCTGAGCTGCTGGGATTACAGGCGTGTGCCACGACACTTGGCTCTTGTATTTACTTTTTATTTCATAAAAAGGGAAGGAACTAATGATAAAGATACACTCATTCATTCATCATTTTCTTTCTTATTTTTTTGTGATGCTGGGATGGAACCCAGGACCTCTCAGGTGCCAGGGAAGTGCTTTGCTGCTGAACCACACCCCCAGCTAGTTTCCAGATTTTTCGAATGAGTGGTTTCACAGAAGAAATATGAGAAGTTGACATTTGACTAAAGAGCTGAAGCAAGTGATGTAGTGAGCCTGGCAGGTAATTGGGCAATTATAAGAGGATTAAAGTGCATGTGTACAGAAGGTTTCCGAAGCTTGTTAACAGTAGCCATATAAAGGGCAAGAGATTACCATATATCCACTTTCCGTGATTCAAATCACAAAATAAAATGACTGGCACCTCAGGGAATCTGGTCTGCATACCTGTAACTGTCATCAACTCCTGCGAAGGCATACCACAGCATTTACCACCATTCGTCTTAAGCTGCTTATTATGTCTAAATTTTGGCTTATGCAAGTAATCCCTTAAGTCTAGTCAATTCCAGATGGGGCTTCTTTGACTGTCTTCCTGTCTTTGGAATGCACCAACCTCACCCAACACAGAGAGCGACTTCGCGCATGCTATGTCCTCTGCCTGGGCAGCCAGCCTCTTTCTCCCTCAGACCTGTCCTCCTGACTTCTTCTAAGACACAGATCCTTGCTGTGACCCATGAGGGCCTTGTTCCTCATCTGGACTTCCCGTCCACATTTCCCCCAGCAGAGTCTAGCACTCATTGCTGATTTAGAGAATGAATGAGCGATTATAATGGATACACTTCTGTGTGTGTTTGTGGTATGTGTGTGTGTGTGTGTATACACTAGGGATTGAACCCAGGGGCGCTTTATGCCCAGACCTCTTTATTTTGAGACAGGGTCTCCTTAAACTGCTGAAGCTGGCCTTGAACTTGTAATGCCTCAGTCTCCCGCTTCGCTGGGATGACAGACACGGGCCACCACGCAGGGACACCGGTTACACTGACTCCAGGGTTTCTTCCGCGGGGGTGGGGTGGACCAAAGCCGATTAGCCTTCCGGGAGTCCTAGCCTAGTGTCAGGCACCTGCTTATTGCAATCCGGAACCAGAGGGCGCGGGAGGAAACATCGTGAGCAGGAGAGGCCGGAGATCGAGGCTGGCATCTCCTTCTCTCTAACGAGCTAATCCAGGCAGAAGGAACTAGGTTCCTAGACACCGCTGGGACCACAGCCACTGGCTCCCACCTCCACCCGCGGGGGCGCGGCCTCTTTAAGGCTCCCGGAAACGGGCTGATAGCACCGGAAGTGACCCTCTTTATTTCCCCTCTTCACGTGGTGGGAGCGGGAAGTGACGAGCGCGGCCCGGGAGCTGCGGACGCGGAGGCCGACCGAGCCGGAGTCGCGGACGTCGCGGGGTCTCCGGGACAGGTGACCGGGGGAGGGGGCCGGGAGCGCGCCCGGAGAGGGCGGGGCCTGGAGCCCCACGTGAGGGGAGTCGGAGCACGCGCGGGCGGGGTAGCGAGCACTCGGCGGGGGCGGGGTCAGAGTACTCTGCGGGGGGCGGGGACAGGACGCCCACATGGGGAGTCCGAGGGGCGCTGGCGGGGCGGGACGTTAGTGTGTGGGCAGGGCCGGGGCGGGCCGGGCTGCGGGCGGACCTGCAGCTAGGGTGGGCAGCTGGCGGCGAACCCGAAGAGTTGTGCCGGGCTGGGGGCGGAGCCAAGTGTTGCCCGGAGAGCTGAGGGGCGGGACCGGGGTGCGGGTCGAAAGTCCTGTGGGCGGGGCCAGGAAGTTTTCCCTCATTTGGAGTGGGTCCGGAACGTTGACCGGGAAGTCAGGGGCGGACCCGGAGGCTGACGCCAGGTCCAGGGCGGGGTTCTAAGGTGGAGGGTGCCCGGGGGGCGGGGCCGGAGGGCGGGCGGAGAATGCTTGGGGTAGGAACCAGAAAGTTTTGCCTGAGCCAGGGGCGCGGCCAGAGCATTGGCGGGGGAAGCCCTGAGCGGAGCTCGAACCTTGGTTGGGGAAGCCGGGGGCGTGGCCAAGCCTGACGCGCGCTTCAGGGGCGGGGCCAGAAGGTTGACCGGGCAGGACGGAGGCGGGGCCATAGCGTTGGCTGGGGAAACTGGGGGCCGTGCCGGGAAAATAACGCGAGAGGCGGGGGCGGGTTCAGGCTGTTGCCAGAGGAGGTAGGGGGCGGGGCCGAGGAGTCGGCTGGGAAGTCGGAAGCCGGGCCAGATTAAGGGCGCGAGAATGTGGGCCGGGCCAGAAGTCTAGCGGGAAAGGCGGGGCCGGAAAGTTTTGTCCTGCCCCGGGGCTGGGCCAGAGGGCTGTCGGGGGCGGGGCCGTGGCGTTCGCAGCCTGGTGGAGGCCGGAACTTTTCCCTGGGAAGCCGCGGGTGGGCGTGGGAAGCTCTGTCCTGGCTGGAGCGAGCATGCACCGGAGAGGTGAAGCCCAATCCGGAAGCCTCCCCAGTGGGCACAGGAACCCGTTATCAGAATAGTTTCTGGTTAGATAATGAGTCGACCATCTTACGTTTTTTCAGGATGCTGGGAGCGGGCCTAGGGCTTTCTTTGGGAGGTATGGGATTATGTTCTTTGAAGAGTTGGAACCGCTTGCGATTAGGGCATGTTTTTGAAACTTACCTGCGAAGCTAGAATGTGCACTGGGATGTGAGTGGCACCAGAATGAACACAGGGAAGTGGCCCTAGAACTTTCTTGAGCAGGTTGGAGAAGGGATGTAGCTAAAACTCAGACTTTTGAGTTTTGTCTGGGCTAAAACTCCCACTATAGGTTGTGGAGGCTGGGCTAGAATCTTCAGTTTGGAAGGAAGCTAGAGGGCTAAGCCAGAACTTCCCAAGGAGGGTCTGATTAAAAAGTTTTCATGAAAAATCGGTAGGTCTAAAACCGAAGGGATGTGGTCTTTATTTTTTCCAAGTAAGGGGTGCAGCTAAGACTTGAGCAAAATGGAAATGAAGTCCTTACTTCTCTTGGGGTATGGGTATTATTTTGTGTGCATGTCTGTGTGAGGAGCCCCCTATATGGGAGAGAACAAAGTAGATTGGGAGTGCCTTTCATCTTAGTCATGCTGTTTCCTCTGTGCTCAGGAACCCCTAGTGCTGCTTCCAGATTCTGTGGTGGTTGCTGGGATCCTAGCCACAGCTGGTGAAATGGTGAGACCAGAAGTGGGTACTCCGGAATCTGAGCTTTGGGGAAGGGGCTTGGGAGAATGGGATCCAGGGGTCAGACCTGCAGACCCCAGACTGAATTTTCAGGCCCTGGGGTACCTAGAGGGTTTTCTTTCCCTCCATCAACTGCCTTCCTGTTTCAGGCAGCCACCCTGGATCTGAAATCAAAGGAGGAGAAGGATGCTGAGCTGGACAAGAGGATTGAGGCTCTTCGGAGGAAGAATGAGGCCCTCATCCGGCGCTACCAGGTGCCCTAGCCCTGCCCTGGGAGACCCCATCCCCTCTCCTCCCCGCAGTGAGTTTTTCTCACCTCTCCCTTCTTTGAAACCTTTTCATGGCTTCCCATCACTCTCAGGATGAAAGCCAAAGGCCTTAGTTAGGCATTCCTTCCTTCATTTCTGTCATTCATTCATTCATTTGCAAATACTCACCCAGGTCTTTACAGCTCCAACCCTTTTGTTGAGTGGTGCTGGGGCTGACACCAAGACAGCTTCAGGTCTGTCCTTTCAGGGCTCACAGTTCAGTCAGGGAGAAAGCCCTGTCCCCAGTTGGTGATGATACAGGCTGGGCAAGGTGATGAGGGAATTCAGAGGTTTGTAGGACTCTAGGGAGGGCTCCTGATTCAGCCTGGGAGACATTTAGGGAGGGTTTCCTGGAAGAGGGGGCTGCAGAGGCCTGAAGGGTTATTAGACATTAGCCAGTTGAAAAGGAGAAGGGCTTGTGTTTCAGGCAGAGGGAACAGTTTGGGCAAATATTTGGACTTGAGAGAGCTTGGAGCTTAAAGCTGCATGGTCCGTTAGGGAGTATTGATCTAGAGAGGTCAACAGGAGCCAGGTCATGTAAGGCCCTAAATGCCACCAAGCTGAGAGTTTTAACTTTTCTCCTGAGGGCACTGGGGGACCATAGAGAGCTTTGAGCAGGAGTGGGACTCTGGCTTTTTAGAGAAGCTTCTCTGGCTGCTGTGAGTTAGTGGAGGGGCAGAGGTGAGAGAAGCCAGAGATTGAGAAGGAAGGTGGGGCAGGAGCTCTAGTGGGAGAGGAGGTGCCTGGCCCAGAACTGTGGTTGAGGGACTTTGTGACTGAGGACAGTAGAAGGCTGGGGGAGAAAGGGAGGATCCAGAACAAGGCCCAAGAGTAGGCAGTGAGGTTTTCCTGGATGTGGGACCTGGGAGGAGCAGTGGACCTCATTTATTCATTCTTCATGTGTCCATTTGTTAAAAAAATACTAAGTTTTGGCATGTGTCAGGCAGTGTTCTAGACTTGGGATATGCATCCTGTTCCCTGGTGAACAGGGGATGAGAAGAGGAAAAATGGTGGCGAACTGATTTCTGCAGGGGTTCCGGGGCTGCCTTTCTGAGAGGAGGCATTTGAAAAATTTGGGAAAGCTGGCAAGGGGGCCAGCTGGTGCAAAGGCTGTGAGGCAGATCTTGACCTCGTATGTTCTAGAAACAGAATGGTAGGGCAAAAGGGGATGGAGAGAGACAAGGCCAAGCATGGGAGGGGATACTGGGGCCCACAGACTGAGGAAGCCTCTGTTCCTTGCTCAGAGGTGGGCATCGTGAGAGGTCCTAGAGGGGAACACGACGGGGTCTGAGAGATGATGTTGAAAGGGACCAGCTTTCTTGTTTAGAGCTTTGGAGGGAGGGCTGGGACTAAGATGCAGAGGAATTCAAGAGGCTATGGGAGTCCAGCAGGTGGACAGGGCCCCTGACATTTCTTCTGCCCTGCATGTTTGTGCCCAGGAGATTGAGGAGGACCGTAAAAAAGCTGAACTCGAGGGTGTAGCAGTGACAGCCCCTCGGAAGGGCCGCTCAGTGGAGAAGGAGAATGTGGCGGTTGAGGTGGTGAGCTTGTCACCAGTGTGGAGGACTCCTGAGGATGGCGGGGAGAGGGTTGGGGCCTGGGATGAGAAACTCCCCAGTTGCTCCAGACCCATGGGTGGCTTGTACCTATTGTCCCCTCTGGGCCTGGTGTGTCCCAGTCTCCCTGTCCAGTGACTGTACTTTCCCCTCCTCCCTCTTCCAGGAGAAGAGCTTGGGTCCCTCACGGAGGTCTCCTGGGACCCCTCGGCCCCCAGGGGTCAGCAGGGGCGGGCGGCCCCCTCCCCAGCAGGGAGGCCGGGCAGGCTTAGGCCGGACATCCCGCAACTGGGAGGACAGTCCTGGGGAGCCGCCTCGAGGAGGAGCTGGGGGCCGGGGCCGAAGGGGCCGGGGCCGGGGGTCTCCTCATCTCCCAGGAGCCGGAGACACCTCTACCTCAGACCGCAAATCCAAGGTAGGAACCAGGCAGGTGGGACGCTTTTGCCGTCCTCAATCTGTTTTCTTTGTCGTCTTGTTTCTTTCCATTCCTTCTCTCAGGGCTGTTTCCCCTTCTCCATGCTCCACCCTCAGCCCCTGCACCTGTGCGCTCTGCAGGGCGGTCGTCCGCCTCTCCCTGCCTCCCCTCGCCCTCACGCTGCTTGTTTCTCCCCAACTCTTTTTCTTCTTTCTGATGCTGTCTGGGGGCTGCTCTTGTCTGGTGGCTGATGTGCCCAGGCTGTTCCGGGTTTTCTGTGTCTGTTCCAGTGGTGGGATGCGAGCGGGGGGGTGTGATCTTCCTGGCACGCAGGTGGGCTGGTGGGACGTGTCTAGCTTAATGGCTCACAGCTTGCCTGGATGTGGTACAACCTGGTTCTGTTAGTTACTTGTCCTTGGCTGCTCCCTTCCTTCTGTGAACTTGATTCTCTCTCACGTAGGAATCATGTTTAGATTTAAAGGTTACTATAAGTTGCTGGGTGCACTGGTACATACCTGTAATCCCAGTGGCTTGGAGGCTGAGGTCAGAGGATCACGTGTTCAGAGTCAGCCTGAGCAACCTATCGAGCTGTCCTAAGCACTTTTTTCATATCCTGTTAGTACTTACACACTTAGCCACATGTCGCTACAAAGACCGGGAAATGAAAAGGTCATCTCCAGCTGTTTTGTTCTTACCTAAAATTTTGGTACTGTGGAAGAACAGAATGGGCTGGGAGGTTACTAGTTACTATTATCATGACCATCATTATTACTGTGGCAGTTAGGGTGTGGGGATCCCCAGCACTCTTGACACCAAACTGCTAGTTTCAGTGATTTGCTGGAAAGACTCACAAGGCTCAGAGTATAATTGGACTCAGGCTCAGATTTATTGCTGTTTTTTTTTTTTTTGGGGGGGGGTACTGGGGATTGAACTCAGGGACCCTCAACTACACCACTGAGCACATCCCCAGCCCTATTTATTTATTTATTTATTTATTTATTTATTTTTTTAAAGAGAGAGTGAGAGAGGGGAGAGAGAGAGAGAGAGAGAAATTTTTTTAATATTTATTTCTTAGTTCTCGGCGGACACAACATCTTTGTTGGTATGTGGTGCTGGGGATCAAACCCGGGCCGCACGCATGCCAGACGAGCGCGCTACCGCCTGAGCCACATTCCCAGCCCCTGTATTTTATTTAGAGACAGAGTCTTACCTGCGTGCCACTCACCAAGTGCCTTGCTTTTTGCTGAGGCTGAGTGGCACGCAGGCAAGACTCTGTCTTTGAACTCGCGATCCTCCTGCTTCCGTCTTCAAAGCCACTGCGGTTACAGGCGTGCACCTCTGCACCTGGCTATTGCTGCTTTGACACAAAGCAAAAGCCAGGGGAGGAGGTGCATGGGTGAGGTCTGGAGGCAGCCATGTTCCCTATGGAGTTAGGGTACATTGAATTGTGACGACGTCTGTCTACCAAGGATGCTCAGGAGACACTCAGTGCCCTGGCCTCTTGGAGGCTGGGGCTCCCTGCACACTGTATCTTCCAGAATCCCAGACTCACAGGAGATGGGGCAGGGACTGCAGCATCTCCCATACTGTTGGCAGAGTCCAGACCCATCGAGCCACCCTCACTGGTTACAGTTGACTGGGAACACACCTAGAATGATTCCCAGATGCCAGCCAGGTGCTATGCCACCTGCCTGTGCCAGGAGAGCGGGCCAGGTGCTGTGCCACACTTTTCTGTACAGCTATAGCAGTTCTTCCTGATGCTGGGTGTCTTGACCCTGTATCCCCAGGAGTGGGAGGAGCGGCGGAGACAGAACATTGAGAAGATGAACGAGGAGATGGAGAAGATTGCCGAGTATGAGCGCAACCAGCGGGTGAGTACCACAGGTTCCCAAGCGAGCACGGCTGCCTGATTCCTGGGAGCCAGCCAACCCTGCCTCTGCCTGTAGGAAGGGGTGCTGGAGCCCAACCCAGTGCGGAACTTCCTGGATGACCCCCGGCGACGCAGCGGGCCCCTGGAGGAGCCAGAGCGGGACCGCCGGGAGGGTAGCCGTCGACATGGGCGCAACTGGGGGGGCCCTGACTTTGAGAAGGTGCGCTGTGGCTTGGAGCACGAGCGGCAGGTGAGTGCTGGTAGCTGGGTCCTTGCACTGCTCTCTGGGCTGAGTACAGATGTGCACCAGGCATGTTGGGGACCAGGATAGGTCAAGACTCTCTTTTTGGGCTGGGATCATTGTTTACGTTTTTAAGGATTTGTGTCATGCTTTCTTTTTTTTCCTTTTTCTTTTTTTTTTTGTACTGGGCATTGAACCCAGGGACACTCAACCACTGAGCCACACATCCCCAGCCCTTTTCTATATTTTATTTAGAGACAGGGTCTTGCTGAGTTGCTTAGGGCATCGCTAAATTGCTGAGGCTGTCCTGGAACTTGAGATCCTCCTGCCTCAGCCTCCTGAGGGGCTGGGATTATAGGCGTGCTCCACTGTGCCGGTTCTCAAGGCAAGCACTCTACCAACTGAGCTATATCCCCACCTACCCCCAGCTTTCTTTTTTTGTTTGTTTATTATTACTTTTTAAAAATATTTTTTTTTTAAATTTTTAATATTTATTTTTTTAGTTCTCGGCGGACACAACATCTTTTGTTGGTATGTGGTGCTGAGGATCGAACCCGGGCCGCACGCATGCCAGGCGAGCGCTCTACCGCTTGAGCCACATCCCCAGCCCTTAAAAATATTTTTATTAGTTGTTGATGGATCTTTATTTTATTTACTTATTTATTTATATGTGGTGCTGAGAACTGAACTCAGTGCCTCACACATGCTAGGCAAGCGCTCTCCCACTGAGCCCCAGCCCCAGCCCTTTTATTTCTTATTTTGAAACAGGATCTTACTAAGTTGCTGAGGGCCTTGCTAATTTGTTGAGGCTGGTCTTGAACTTGTGCCTCTGCTGCCTCAGCCTCCCCAGCTGTTGGGATTACAGGCCTGCACCACTGCACCCAGCATGTTTTTCTTGTTAGGGCCAGTTTCCCCTTATTCTTTTTTTTTTTTTTTTTTTTTTTGCGGGGGGTGGTGGTGGTTACCAAGGATTGAACTCAGGGGCACTCGAGCAGTGAGCCCCATCTCCAGCCCTATTTGTATTTTATTTAGAGACAGGGTCTCACTGAGTTGCTTAGTGCCTCACTTTTGCTGAAGCTGGCTTTGAACTCACCATCCTCCTGCCTCAGCCTTCTGAGTGGCTGGATCCCCTTATTCTTGATGATGTGGCATTTATAAGGCTCTATCGACACATCATGCTAGGTGAAGGGTGAAGGGTGGGGATGTGACCAGAGAGGGGGGAATCAATTCCTCGTATTTACACCTTGACAGTATTGGTGGCTTTGCCAGTCCCACATGGCTCAGCTTATAGTTAGGTTATAGGGTTCATGTGTGTTTTGGGGTTTTCTCTGATTCCGACATCAGTGTTGTTTACTGGGCACCTACTGGATAGAAGCACTGCTCTATTTCATTTGTCTTCAAGGTGCTGGGGATGAATCTGGGGCCTCACACCAGCTAGGCAGGTGCTGTATGACTGAGCCCCTCTCCTAGCCCCAGGCACCACTTTAGATGCTGAGATGAGTTTTAATGCAAACATAGGCCCTGATAACTTGACAGCCATGGGAACCAGCCAGATGGAAATTTGGTTAGAGGCCAGGCGGCAACAAATGTTGCCACCAGAGGAGCCCAGCAAGGTGATGGGCAAATTAGCAAGGCCCTCAGCAACTTAGTAAGATCCTGTTTCAAAATAAGAAATAAAAGGGCTGGGGCTGGGGCTCAGTGGGAGAGCGCTTGCCTAGCATGTGTGAGGCACTGAGTTCAGTTCTCAGCACCACATAGAAATAAATAAGTAAAGAAGAGATGGGAGAGCCTCTTTGAGTTTACCTGAGCTGTTGTACTGCTGCTTTGTCACCTTGAACCAGTGACCCCACCTCTGAGTTCAGTGGGGAGGGAAAGGGAGAGGAATAGACCCTGACTGCCTGTGGCTGGGGCAGGGCCGCCGGGCTGGCCCAGGCTGTGCTGGCGACATGACGCTGTCCATGACGGGCCGGGAGCGGTCAGAGTACCTGCGCTGGAAACAGGAGAGGGAGAAGATTGACCAGGAGCGACTACAGCGACACCGCAAGCCCACGGGCCAGTGGCGGCGGGAGTGGGATGCTGAGAAGACCGATGGCATGTGAGTCTGCGCCCTGTTTGCCTGCCCTGGGCTGTTGCCCCTCCTTGCCCTGACCTCTGCCTCCGATGCTTCTCTGTTTCCTCACCTGGGCTGTTAGTGATGCATGCTGTAGTTTGTCAGGTCTCCTTGGCACACTAGAGCCTTCACGGGCCACCCTGCTCAACTGGTCCAGGCTGGATGTGAGCCTGTGGGTGCCCTGGGGCTCAGCTCCAGATCAGGTGCAGCTCAGGTGTGCCGAGACAAAATCCTTTTTTTTTCTTTAAGTGAGAGCCAGCATTAAAGGTGTGGTTTGTACAAACCTGTAATTTCCATTATTCTGGAAGCTCAGGCAGGAGGAGCCTGAGTTGGAGGCCAGCCTGGGCCACCTAGTAAGACCCTGTCTCAAAAAAAGGGCTGGGAACGTAGGTTAGTGGTAGAGTTCTTGTCTAGGACACACGAGCCGTGGGTTCCATCCTCAAAACCCCCCCCCAAAAAAAAAAAAAAAAAGAGAAGATATAGATCTATGGAAACTTCTGGTGTAGTCCAGTAGAGCAAAGCACAGAGCATGGGATAAAACGGGAGGTTGCTTATCTTTAAAGAATACCACTCCTCACCTCTTCAAGAACTTTCTGCTTGGCTCTGGAAGTTGGTCCACATGACAGTGACATAGTGATGCTCTGGCTTTAAGTTTGAACACACTCCGTATGTGTTCATTCTGGGGTGTGGGCAGAGGGCAGCAGCGGCCTGGGGAGATAGATGTCCTAGTGTTGGCAGACAGACAGGTGATAGAGACCCTTCCTCATTGTTAGCCGGCAGGGAAGCAAGCTCTGCCCCTCCAGTGGGTGTTGCGCCATGGCTTTGTGGCTTAGGGTGTGGATGTAAATTTTATTTTTGAGGTGCTGTGGCCTGGAGCATGTTAGGCAAGCACCTTAAACTGAGCTACCTCCTGACCCTAGGGATGTAAATTCTAAGGTCACCTGGGCATGAAAGACCTTTCTGGTCGCCCCTCTGTCCTCTCATCTTGCAGCTTCCCTCTGTCCCACTGACCTGTCCCCAAGCAGCACACATCCTTGCATCAGGCCTGACTCTGTCCTCCTCTGGGCTCAGAAAACATCCACCTTAAAGCGTCATTGTCATTGTAATGAGGACCAACTTCCATAGCCAGGCAGAATGTTCTGGAAAAGCCCACGAATGGCAGTCTGATGCTCTGTCCTTTGCTGCATTGGAAGTTTTCATTCACCTATAATGTTGTTTTGTTGGCTTTGGTTAAAGAAAAAGAGGACTTTGTTTGCTTAGTGGTTAGGAACATTATTATTATTAATTTTATTGGATCATGAGTCAAGCTTTTGCAAGTGTGAGCATTATTTAGGTATTTTAGCTTATCCTTCTAAGGGATAGGTAACTGGGCTTTTAGGGAGACATTCTCAGGTTTAAGAAAGGAAAAATAATTATTTTTGTGTGTGTCCCCAAAGCAGTCTACAACAGGTGTAATGAACACACTTGCAGTGATTTTATCAGATGCTTATCAAGGCCCCCCTGTGTGACATGGAAGGTTCTAGGTGACAGGGATCTAGCAATGAATGAAATGTTTCGGGGCTGGAGATGTGGCTCAGCGGTAGCGCGCTCGCCTGGCATGCGTGTGGCCCGGGTTCGATCCTCAGCACCACATACCAACAAAGATGTTGTGTCCGCCGAGAACTGAAAAATAAATATTAAAAAAAAATTCTCTCTCTTCTCTCTCACTCTCTCTTTAAAAAAAAAAAAAAAGGAAAGAAATGTTTCTGCCACTAGACTTGGAGTCCTGTGGGCAAGATGGGAGGGGGGTAAATCTGATTTCGGGTCATAAAGAATAATGAAGCAGAGGAAGGAGTATATGAACGGGAGTTTTTATTTTAGTTTTAGATAACACGTAATAATACATTCCTGTAGGTGGGGTTCAGGAAAATCTCTGTCTCTAGAGCTAAGGCCTGAAGGAGGTCCAGAGAGTGAGCAACAGGTATAAAGGCCTGAGGCAGGAGCCAGGAGTGCTTGGAGAACCTGCTTCGTTGGCCAGGTGAGAAAGAGAGAGTGTGACAGGAAGTGAGGTTCAGACAGGTAGCTGGCGATCATTATTTTGTGGGGGTCTGTTGAGACCCATTGGTATTTTTATCTGGGGGGCCAAATTCTCAATTTTTTTCTTTTTGTGGTTATCAGTAGGATGTCAGATTGTCTCATGCATCATCTGATCCTGTCCTCTTCCTAGTGACCCTTTCTGGTTGCCCCTCTGTCCTCTCATCTGGTTTCTGACCCTGGCCTCCAGCACTCCCCCTGCTTCCTCATTCCTGCACCCTCTGCTCATCCCTGCTCTCTTTCCCAGGTTCAAGGATGGCCCAACCCCTGCCCATGAACTGTCCCACCGCTATGGTGAGTGGTGTTCTTGGACCAGCCAAGACAGTGGCTGGACTGGGGGTTGGGTGGGAGGTAGTTTGCGCTGTCCCGCCTCCCCTGCCTTCTTCAGGTTCTGTTTCTGTTGCAGATGAACAGACCTGGGCCCGGCCTCCCAAACCCCCCACTTTTGGGGAGTTCCTGTCACAGCGTAAAGCTGAGGTCAGCAGCCGCAGAAGGAGAAAGAGCAGCCGACCCCAGGCCAAGGCAGTGCCCCGAGCCTACAGGTGGGGACACCTCTTCCCACAGCATGTACAATCTCTGGGGGGGTCCTTTTTTCCTTGGACTTGGGTGGGGCTGTGTGTCTTGGCCTCATCTATCTCTAAGGTGCTTGGTTTGGCGTCTGGGGTCTGGATCTTGGCTTCACCATTCACCTGTCCTCTCCTTTGCATCCATCTCTGCTGCCACCTGGTTCCCCTTCATTTCTCCTGTTCCCTGATGGTTGGGGACCCACATCCACCATTCCCTCTCAGTGCTCCCTGGACAGCTCTGCTCTGGGGAGGAGTGGGCAGTTGGAAGTCCCTTCCTCTTGTCCACTTGAGGCCTCACCCCTTTCCTTCTAGTGACCATGATGACCGCTGGGAGACAAAAGAGGAGGCAGTGTCCCCAGCCCCTGAGGCCCCACAGCCCCCGTCCCAGGAGGAGACACCTGTGCAGGTAAGGTAGGGCAGGGGGTGTGGGGCTCGGGGCCACGTCCTTTCCCTGACCTGCTGTGTTCCCTGCAGCCTCCGGAGCCACCTGCTCCTGCCCACCGGCCTCCTGAGGATGAGGGGGAGGATGAGGAAGATGAAGAATGGGAGGATGTGAGTGAGGATGTGACTGAGGACGAGGAGGAGGAGGAGGAAATTGAGGACGAGGGCACTGAGGAGCAGGAGGAAGAGCCAGCCCATGAGCACCAACCCCAAGAGGCCGAGCCCTCCGGTGGTGCCCCCGGCGAGCAGGCCGAGCAGGCGGAGGAGGCAGCACCTTCCAGGGCTGAGGATCCACTTCCCCAGGCGCCTGCCACGCCTTCCACCCCCTTCTCACCACCTGGTGGCCACCAGCCTGTGTCAGATTGGGGTGAGGAGATGGAGCAGAATTCTCCCCGGACCACCCACCCGGCTGGTGCCCTCTCTCCGGGTGAGGCCTGGCCTTTTGGGAATGCATGAAGCCAGCTGCCTGTGTGTGCGCACAGGGGTGTGATGGGCCTGGGGACCCCATGCCCACGGTGCTGGCTGCTGGGGAGGGCAGTCCGTGTCCCCTCTGTGCTGTCATGCCCCTGTCTCTAGAGTACCCACTCCCAGACTTCCCCAGGTCCTCCAGAGCCCCTCCTCAATAAAGAACTCACATCCTCAAATGACATTCCCCTAAGTGTGTCCTTAAGGCCCCTCTAACTCCCCTTGGGCCTCTTCTCTCCGGGTGGGGAGATGTTTGGAGGGAGAGGGGGCTTGACTGGGCCTCCCCTTCTCCAGGAGGTGACCAGCCGGCCTCTGCCTCCCTGGAGAGTGGGCACAGTCTCCCCGGAGCCCAGAAAGCTGAAGAGGAGGGGTCTGAGGCAACACCAGGTGGGGGTGTGCATGCAGTGGGGGAGGTGGCGTGGCCTGCCTTCCCCTCTGGGTGGCCAGGGAAGGGCTTGTGGTGGAGCTGTGTGGCAGCAGTGGGGCCTGGGTGTGAAGTTAGAATGCCACACGGCTGGGGTTGAGGAGGGCTTTAGGGCCACAGGAATGGTCCAGCAGGGGAGACAGCAGCAGGGGATTAGGATTCACAAGAATTTAGGAGTTAGAGGTCAACTCCAGACTTAAGGAAAGCAGTGGAAAAGTAATGAGGTGGATTTACTCTCTAGGGGAGGACCTAAAGGACAGGATTCAGAATTTAACCTTGGCCCTAAATGTTGAAATAAGAGTTGGGGGTGGGAGGTGTAGCTCAGTGGTTCTGGGCTCATTTTACTTGCAGGAAATAAAAACAACAGTGGGACAGAGTATAGGATTTATCTGTGAGTGGGATTATAGGGTTTGGGGGTACAACCCTGTGGTGGAAATTACAATAGGGCCCAATTCGATTTTGGCTCCTGCAGAGTGGGAGCAAGAGGCTGAACCCTTTCTCTCCATCATTTAGTGGGAGCCATTTTGAACCAGTGATAGTGTCCCTCTCCCCAGTGGAGTTGGATTAAGATTTGGGCCAGAGCCAAGGAGGGACCGGTTAGAATGCTGGATGGTGGGGATGTAAAGGAATGGAGGGCTGGTCTCCTGGGGCTTGCTTGATGGAGGTTGCTTAGGGTTGGGGATGGGGCTGAGCTGAGCTATCTTTGGTCACATGTTGTCTGGATCACCCTGATCTCATGCCAGCATTTCCCTCTTGTAGACAGGGTATATGCTGCCTCATGGGTCCACTGAAGATTAAGACTTCCTTGGCCCCTAAACCGCTTAGTGTCCGCCCGGCTGCAGCCAGGCTGGATTGGGATGAGGGGCAGGGCCAGATGGGGGAGGGTGGCCCAGGAACTAGGGGAAGGCAGGGAGTCTCTTTCCCTCTGTTGACAGCCCCTTCTCTCCCCAGAGGTGGGCCCCGAGGGCCAGGAGACGGCGGAGATCACGGACTTCCAGAGGGTGCGTTTCTGCAAGGTGGTAGCGGCCGCTCCACCCCCAGGGGCCGCCCGCTGACCGCATCCGCTGTACCTGGCATCGGTCCTCTGCACTAACCTCCCACCGCCTCGCTCCTCTGCTTCTGCCACACTCCCGCCAGGAGAGGGTTAAATGCAAAGGGGGAGGAGCCAGGGTCACTGTAGAGGGCGGGGCCAGGCCAGTAGTGTAAATTTGGTGAGGATTCTGTCCAGGCCCTACCCGTGGGGGACACCGTGGGAAGGCCGAGACGCCTCCGAGTTAGCGCCCCCTGGAGGCCGTGCGGGCTAGGTGCCAGCCTCCTGGTCGAATTTCCCGTCTCCAGGAGCCTACATCTGGGGCTCGGCAAGTCGCCGGTGACTCCTCCGCAGGACTTCAATCTCTAGGGCACCGGCCCGTCTCTATTAAACGCAGTGCTTCCGCTGACCTTTGAACTGCATTTGTGGTCGGGACAGGCTGGGTTGCTCTGCTTGGCGGGCTTTTCTCTGGCGGAAGAGGCGGGATAAAGGGGTCTTCCTTCTCCCCCCTGATTCGTCTTCCCTCCCCTCCCGCAGGCCTCCCTGAATTCCTGAAGACGCTGCTGGGAGGGGACTGAAGCTTCCCCGCCTTGATGGGGAGGGGGCGGCAGGAGGGGTTCTATCTGGATCTCCGGGCTGGGTTCTCTCCTCGGAGCCCCTTGGGACCCCACGGCTGTAGGGCGAGAAGGGAACTGAGGGTGGTGGCGGAGTTGCTGGGGGAGGGAGCGACCGGGTGAGGGTGAGGTTAGCCTCAGAACACCTGAAAGGGCAGTAGGTGGCCGCTGTCTAGGGGCAGGTGGGGGTGCCAGGCAGGGCCCCGCGTCTGGAGGAGTTCGGGTGTGTGCGGGGTGAGCATGTGGGGGCGGAGTGCGGGGGCGTGGTCTGGGTGGGGGGCGGAGCGCGGGGGCGTGGTCGGGGTGCAGTTCTGGAGTCGGGTTGGAGGGCCCCGCCCACTCGTAGGCAGGGGACCCCGAGTCGTAGCCGGGACAGTCTGAAGGAGGGCAGAGGCGAGGGTGGGCCCGGACGAGAGCACGAGGCGAGGCTTGACCCTGACAGGCGGGTGGAAGGCGCGCGGGAGTCCGGAGCCTGCGGGGACAGGTGACCGGGTTAGGACTCGGGAGCAGCGGAGGACTTGGGACGGGCTAGCGTGAGGGCGAAGGCGGTGGAGGCCCGCCTCGCGGGGGCGGGCGGTCGCTGACGCGGGGCGGTGCGCGGGGGCGGGGCCTGGCGGGGGCGGGGTCTCGCGGGCCGTGGCGTGGGGCGGGCGGGCCGCGGCGATGCGGGGCACGAGCTGCGTGGGCGGCGGCGGCGAGAGCCCCGGCGGCGCCGGGCTGAGTGAGGGCCCGCGAGGCCGTTGGCTGCGCCTGGCCCCCGTCTGCGCCTACTTTCTCTGCGTCTCGCTGGCCGCGGTGCTGCTCGCCGTGTACTACGGGCTCATCTGGGTCCCCACGCGGCCCCCCGCGGCCCCCGCCGGCCCGCCGCCCAGTGCGCCGTCCCCGCCGTGTGCTGCCCGCTCGGGCGCGCCGCCTGTCCCGGTGCCTGCCGCCGCCTCAGTGTCCTGCCTCCCGGGTGCCCCGGGCGGGCCGCGACCCCAGCACGAACTGCCGCGGAGCCGCCGCCGCCGCCACAGCGACCACCGCCGCCGCCGGACGCTGGGAGAGACGCCCGAGGCCATGGGGGGACGAGGGCCCGGGTAGCCGCCCCTTCCACCCCGACTCGATCGTCGTCAGCCCTCGAGAGCCCCGTGCAGCTCGCCGAGGATGGATGCCGTCCCCCGAGGGTCCCGGGCTCTCGGTGACATCGTCTAGCGCCTTCGGAGCCGTCATCCTGAAGAATGGGGGGCAGCGGGTGCGGGCTCGGGCCTCGCCCCGTGCAGCTCTCCTGCCGCCAGGCCGGTCCTCCTCCACCCGGCAGGCCCCCTCCGACCTCCCCTCCTGGCCTCCCCCGTAGGATTCTGAGCACAGAGCCCACAGCCCACCCCGCTTCTCCCCGGATCCTCGTGCCCTGCTCCAATAAACTCTAGCCCTAGCTGCCTCGTGCTGTGTCTTTGGTGTTAGCGGAGATGCCTCCTCTTCCAAATCTGAGAAGTCTTTCTGGGGTTTGGCATTTGTCTCTTGCCATGGGTGGGTTTTGTGGGCTTTCTCCCTTCTCCAGGGGACTCTCTCTTTTCACTGCCTTTGTGTAAATTTTAGGTTAGGGTGGGGAGAAGAGGCTTATCACTACCAGGGCCACTGAAGGTCAGACAGCATGAAGGATTTTCTAGTTTTTAATGTGCTTGGGACAGAGAAAAAGTGCCTTTCTGAAGAAAGAAATTAAAAATAAGTAAACAAAGAGGGTCTTCCCCAACAGTATGGGAGACAAACTGGGTTCTGAGAATTGCTGTATTTTGATCACATGTTAGGAACAGAGACTAAATCACCCTGACGCAGAAGGCAGCTAGGAAGAAAGGGTGCTTGCCTTCTTCCAGGTGTGGAGGGTGGACAGGGGTGGCTGTGGGGACTTTCTGCTTCTCTGGAAACCTGCCACCGACTGTGAGTACAGCCTCTGGTCGGGATTGCTGCTGCTGAGCTGTGGCTGAGAAACTCGGACGAGCTTCTGGGGAAGGAGTCAGGGGTAGCTGAGACCTGGCCCTGGGCAGGGCCTGGGATCCTGCATGCAGGAAGTAGTTTTCCTGTCCGGCTTCCCCCTCAAACTGGAGACTCTCCCAGGAGAGTGAGGCTGAGCTTCTCTCCCACATGGACGGTTTGGTCCGGGGATGTGGAGGAGAGGAGTGTCAGTTACTCAGCGGGCCCCAGCATTCCCCAGAGGGCGACTTGGTCAGAAGTGGAATGCAGGAAGCCAGCGCTCTGCACTAGCCAGGGTAGATGGTGTCCAGGGGCACAGACTTGGGGCTGAGTTGCCCAGATTCAAATCCCAGGTCTTCCTCTTGTTGCCTATGTGACTTCAGGCAGGTTACTCAACCTCTCTGGTCCTGTAAAATGAAGAGGACAGCACTTACAGAGCTCCTGTGAGGACTCCATAAGCTAGTGACCTAAAGCCCTCAGAGCAAAGCCACATGTTCTCTCTCTCCACCACCTCTGTCCCTCGGGGCTTTAAAAACCACAGCTAGGGTCCCTCGGGATATCAAGTTAGTCCAAGGCCCTGGACCCAGCAAGTAGTGAGTTCAGGGGAGGCTCTGCTCCAGCTGGTCCCCTCTTTCTAGTTTCTAACTTTCTTGGCTCCAGTTGTCACCAGTCTCCTGCTCTGTCTGCATCTTTACCGTCTCCTCGCCCCCGTGCTGTCTGTCTGCACCGTCTGTCTCTCTGGTGTCTCTCCATGTTGTCTCTGTCACCGCTCTTCCCCCTCCTTTCCCGCCCCCTGCTCATTTCTCCCTTGGTCTCAGCCTCCACACCTCTGGCTCCTTCCCTTTCTTTGCTTCTCTTCCCTTCTCCCTCTTCTCAACTTCTCTTTCAGTCCCTCCCTTAATCTTTCATTTTACAAAACAACAACAGGTTTTTTTTTGTTTTTCAGCAGGTACAGTGTGCAAGGACTTACAAATACTGGAGCACAGCACAGAACAGAGCAGGCAAAACCTGCTGCTCTCAGAAGCCCACAATGCATATCATCAGTAACTCACGTGTGTTACGTCAGGTAGCCACAGCACAGAGGAAAAAATGAAACAGCAAATGTGGCAGAGGAGATAGGGGAGATGGTTACTGGACCTGGGCAGGCAGATCTCTGGGGAAAGATTGCTCCAGGCCAAGGCAAGTGCAAAGGCCCTACGGCTGGAGGGGCTTGGCTGGTTATTGACCAGCAACAGGCAAGTGTGGCCAGAGTAAGAGGGAGTGAGGGGAGAGAGGAAGGAGGTGATGGAGGGCAGAATGCTCATGGCCTTGTGGGCCACGGTAAGGACTTTGGTTTTTACTTGGAATGAGGCAGGAGTCATGGGAAGCTTCTGAGCTGAGGAGGGATGGTGCTGACTTGGATATTGGCCACCGCCTCTGGCTGCCATGCATTGGGGACTGTTGGCGCCACAGCCAAAGCTGGGAGCCCAGTGAGGGGGTGCTGACGGGAGAAGGAGAGAAGAGGTTGGTTCAAACCTCTCTGGATGGTGGTAAAATATACATAAATTACCACTTTAAAGTCCAAGTTCAAGGGCATTGAATACATTCCCATGGTCTTGCACACTGCTGTCTTCCCACGCTGCAACCCCTGGTCCCTGCCTCCCTGGCCACGCCAATCTACTGCCTGTCACTCTGAGTTGCTCCGCTGCACACATTCCACATCCTTGGAATCCTACACCGGGCCATCTCTGGTGTCCTGCTTCCTTCCAGCAGCACTGTGGCTTTGAGATCCAACCTGTGACCCTGTGTATCCACACACCACTGGTCTCCATGGCTGAGCGACATGCCACTGTACACGCAGACCAGGTATTGTGCATCCATCCATCAGCTGGACTTTTGGGGCTGCTTCTTTCTGTCCATTTTTTTATGGGGAATTGAACTCAGGGACACTCCACCACTGAGCCACATCCCGGCACTATTTTGTATTTTATTTAGAGACAGGGTCTCACTGAATTGCTTAGTTCCTCGCTGTTGCTGAGGCTGGCTTTGAACTCACCATCGTCCTGCCTCAGCCTCCTGAGCCACTGGGATTACAGGCGTGCATCACTGCACCCAGCTCCGTCTGTCCATTGTGAATCGCACTGCTCTGGGCGCTCATGTAGGAGTTTCTGTTCAAACACATTTTAACTCTCATGGATGTACTCAGGAGTGGAATTGCTGTGTCCTGTGATAAGCTGTTTAATTATCATGGAGGAACCATCAAAGTCTGTATATATTTTGAAGATACAACCAATTTGAACTGGTTATGGGATGTCAAGAGAAGGTCAAGGCTGGGCCCAAGCACCTGGGGGTGAAGTAGGGAGCCCAGTCTGGGGCTGGAGACTGGGGGACTATTGGGGTTAGGGTGTACAGTGCTGACCTCCTTCTCATCTCCCCTCCAGACCCTCAGTCCTCTTCCCCATGTCTCTCCTCTCTCTTTTCTCTCCCTCCTCCAACAACCCTAAATTATATTGATTAAAAAGTGACGTGCCCTCTGCAACCTGCCACTGACTTCCCACCTTTCGCTGTCCAGGGGAACCGCAAAGGGGTCAACTTCTGCCCTTCATAGGCTTTAGGATCTCCAAAGGATTCCAGAAACCCTCCTGTAAGTTTGCCCCCCGACTCAGTCTCTCGGGGATCATAACAGTCAACAAGGCCTGTGGCAAGCGTTAGGACAGAGCTGGAGACAGACCCCTGAAGATGGTGGTGATCCCCTGTGCGGAGGGGGCAGTGCTGGGGACAAGGGGTGACCACGACAGCCCTGGCCCTGCCCTCATGGGTCTCACCTCCCATGGAGGAAAGACCTGATGGGGGCTCAGGGTGCTGAAGGAGCCTTGAAGGAGCTGTGATTCAGTCTGGGCGTCTGAAGCATCTCCTGGAAGAGGCTCCTTAGTCATATTCTATGACTTGTTCTGGAGCCAGACCGCCTGACCACAGCTGTTTCCAGTTATTTTCATGCACAGGGTTGGCCACATCCACAGGCTGCTTCTCCTCAAGACTAAAGGCCAGGTGTCCAGAGGGGAGGTATTACCATTCCCTGGGCGTAAGCAGGCCTGGACCCTATTGGTGAACCAGGGTCTTTCCTTCCATCTGATTGGATGAACCCGAGTCACATGACAACCTTGGACTCAGTGTTTATCAAGGGCTGGTTGGTTAAGGTTTGAGTTCCTGAACCATTCACAAGTGAAGGCGGGATAATTATGAAGTTTTAGACCAATCAGGATCCAGTTCTGTATCTGGCCTATCGGAAGCCGAACTGCAAGGGCCGGGGCTGCCAGGAGGGGGCGCGCAAGGGTCCTGGCTTTCCTGGATCCTGGCACCTGGTAAACCGGGTGACTTACCCTCAGAGCCGCCAAAGGTCCTAGTAACAGAATCCCGAATCTGTTACTGCAGTTCCGAATTCTTGAAAGCTCTGATAAGGTTAAATGTTTTTTGGGGGGATAATTTTGTCTCGGTCTCATATGGTGGCAAATCAACAAATATGATATGAACTAAGTATACTGTTTATTTATCCCATTTTAGTGTGAATATTCACACATTTTGCTGCAAATATATTAACATCTGCTGGAGGCAGGATGTGGGCCGGCCGCCTCAGGCCCCTCGGAGCGTTACATAATGTGTGGCATTGGCTCAGAATTGCCTTTCTAAAATTGGAGCAATTCTGAGTTCTGAAATCCATCTGTCCCCGAAGACCTCAGCTAAGGGAGCAAGGACCTGTGATTTGGCACTCTGCCAAGCCTAGATTTACTTTAATTATTGTTTCAACATTTATTTAATGGCTTTGGAGAGAAACTAATTTTCCATTACAAATTTTTTAAAAATAGAAAATGAAACGTCATTTCACCAAGTTCCTTCTATTAATGATATGCCATTTTTAGTGGTGTGTGTGTGTGTGTGTGTGTGTGGTGTGTTTGTGTCTGTATGAGTGTGTCTGTGTTGGAGAGGGTGCTTGTGTATGGCAGTATTGCTGTGTGTGTGCATGTTATGTGGGTTTGAGTTTGTGTGCGTGCGTGTATGTATTTGATCGTGTTTATGGTGCGAAGCGTGTATGTGTGTCCGTGAGTGTGAGTGTTCACTAGAGGAGGCAGGGCGCAGTGTTTAAATTTGGGGGGTGGGGTTGGGGTTGTGGCTCAGTGGTAGAGCACTTGCCTAGCATGTGTGAGGCACTGGGTTCGATTCTCAGCACCACATACAAATAAATGAATAAAATAAAGGTCCATCAATGTCTAAAAAAATAGAAAAAAATAAATTTGGGGGGTGCTTGAAATTTATAAGATGAAACAATGTCCTAATTTCAGAAAACCATTTGAGCTTCTGCTTTAGAAATTCAGGAAAATTGTGTGCTTTCAGGCCATCCCCTTCATTCCACTAGGGGGCGCCTGCCCACTTCGCCAGAAAGAAAGGAATCTCCATTTTTGCCACGTAATAGCGGGGAGTTTG